GTATGATCGCCGTAGTGGGACTGGACGTGGGTTAGTATTGTTGTGTTTTTTTCAATTTTGATTATTTTGTTTAAAATATTCACCACATTATTTATCTGTCAACAGGAATGAGTTCAAACGTGATGGTGCTGGACGTGGTAATTGGGGTAGTCCTACTGATGAAGTTGCTCTGTGAGATCTTTTTGCCAATCTGTTAACATACATAATTTTTTTCCCGACAAAGTTCTTTATTTTATTATGCTCTATACACAAACTTTATGTTATGCAAGCTTTTCTGCTTATATATCCTGCTATTTTGCCCTAAAATAAGTGAGAATGAAGAAAATGTCCCCGAGGATGTAAAGAATATTGGCACTGAGAAGCAGCCTGAAGTGGAGGATGCTGCAGATGCCAGCAAGGAGAATGCTGCAAATGAAACCGAGGAGAAGGAGTCTGAAAATAAGGTAGTTTTTCTTTTTCACAGTTGATCATTCATTTTCTAGAGATACGGGTAGGGGTTAACAAAATTATTTGCTGTGTTTTCCCAGTTGTGGTACTTGTTTAATTAGTGATTAGGGAATAGCATGTATTGGGATATCTTACCTGAACTGTGTTAGTCTTTTAAAACCTTTTTTAAATAAGGGCAATGTTTCTAGTAACATTACTTCTATTAGTAATTCTAATCCTTTCAAAGTGCATAGCACATTTGTGGTTGAACTGTAATTAAATCTAGGTAATATTTGTTAGATGAAAGTATCTTGTTTCTGAAATGTTGGGTAAAATACATCTTCAAAGATTTTGAATTGTAATACTGGCCATGCTTGCACTTTGTTTGACAGAATCAAATTTTGGTTAATCAAATAATCAGCTTAGTTGCCTGGTTTAGTAATCCTTGGTTGATGTTATTGTTGTCGTTCTTTCTGTGTTATAGGAGATGACCTTGGAAGAATATGGGAAGGTTCTTGAGGAGAAGAGGAAGGCTCTGCTTGCCCTCAAGACGACTGAAGAAAGGAAAGTTGATACCAAAGAGTTTGAGTCCATGCAACAACTTTCAAATAAGAAGAGCAATGACGAAATCTTTATCAAACTGGCAGGATTTCTTAGCTTACTTCTTTTGGTTTGTATGGTTTCAAATATTTAATTTATAGTGGCATATTGACTTAGCTTTTGGTTTTTAGGGTTCTGAAAAGGACAAGCGCAAAGATGCTGATAAAGAAGAGAAAACCAAAAAGGTATATTTTTGTCACATGTTATTGTTGGTTAACTGCTTTCATATATAGATGTGAGTTGATAGCATAGAATTTGGCATTTATCTTTCTTAGGATGCTATCATCCCTTTCTAATAGTGATTAATTGGCTGTTCCCTTGTCATGGTTTATATTACTTTTGACAATGCAATTAACCATTAGCCTAAACTAATTTAGGCATTAATGGTAACTGATTGACGGCATGCATGCCTGGTTAACGGCATAATGTTTACTAAGCAACATGAAAAATAAATCTACAAAATCATATGTGCATAATCCAGTTAATACTCTCTTATAGTGATGCAATTGCATAATTATATGAATTTTGAAGCTTTTGCAGTACTTGATGAATAAGTGAAGTTTGCATCAAGTTTTCTGCCTTAATCACTATTATTAGTGCTGATGATGTATTTCACGTACTGTCTGGATGTTGTTTTGGTGTAGTCTGTCAGCATCAATGAGTTCCTGAAGCCAGCTGAAGGTGAGAGGTACTATGGACAGGGGCGTGGTCGAGGCCGTGGCCGTGGCCCCAGAGGAGGGTATGGAGGCAATACAACAAGCAATGTGTCAGCTCCCTCAATCGAAGACCCTGGGCACTTCCCTTCATTGGGTGGCAAGTGAGTCCCCAGAAAATGCATACTACACAATGGGTTTCCGCGTGTCTGGGAATTCATTGTGATCTATTCCATAGTCAGGAGCTACAAACTTGTACTGTTTTCGAGTGTAAATTTAGACAATTTGCCCATTCTCTGACATGCATACCTTGTTTTTGTTTTACTATTTTTGGTTAAAGTCGGAACAAAGGTTCATTTTGACTGAGTAGTAGTGTCAATTTTGATTCGATTTAGGTTAAGATGGTCTGGTGGGTCTTTGTTCGAGTTTGAGACAAGGCATTCATGTTATCCTTTTAGATCTCTGTTTACTGACGATTCTGGTTTTCTCCTGGCTTTAAATGTAGTTTCATTTTCTAAGATGAAAATGTTTGCTGAAGGGAAGCTTTGTTAATTGTGTTACATGTCATACCTATTTATCTCGAGCTCACTAAAACTATCTTAAATGAAAAGCTTAATATAAATTATATTCAAAATTAACTTTTGATATTTAAAGAACTTTTTGTTAAAAATGGTTGTATAATGTTTTTTTCGTTGTACTTTTAGGTGTTTGTTAAAAAATTGCAAAATGATAATTTTACAAAATAAAATATAATGGAGAAAATATTAGGTATTTATTTTTAGTTAAAAATTATTTTTTAATACGCTTGGAGTATTTATTTTGCATTAAGCATAAAAAAGGGTTAAAGTTAAGAATTCATGCAAGTACACATTAAAATCAAGTGTTTCAATATTTATTTGAATCTATAGAACGATTTTAGCGGTTATCCTTGAATGAAAATGTTTTGGATTTGATTAGTTAAGGATATGTGTACGTTCAATGTTAAATGATTAAAAAAAAATTAATAATTATAGGTAATCATCTCAAACTAATAATCAAACAATCTAATTGTGTATAACTGAAAAGTAATTTTTTAGAAAAATTATTTATTATTATTATTTATTTAAATAAGAATTTTTTAAATTACAAAGATTTATAATTATAACTGTAAATTGAGTATATAATTAGAACAATTTCTTATAATAATTGAAATAAAAACTCGTAATTTAAGATCACATAAGGAGGCTAGACAAGGAAAGATTAAAAACTTAACCAAAAATATTGAACAAAGATAGATACAGACAAATCTGATAGCATCGATAAACTAACAACAAAAGATGATCAAGTTACTGACCACCAACAAACGAGAAAATAACCTCAGTGACCAAAAATGCATTGTCTTATAATATACGATTTTAACCAACATTTTTTGAATTTGCCAAAATGACCAACTAAATCGCAATGCGATCGATAATTCGCAACGCGATCTCCGGCATCGCAAATCAGTTTCCAGATTCGCAATGCAAATTGTCCAAGTTCGCATTTATTTCTTAAGATTTTTCTCTAAAAAGATAGTATTTGCGCGGACGTGTTGAAGACACGTATTACCACGACCACGACCACGACCACACTCGAGACGGACGGCGGCGGCGCGCGAGAGTCCCCCTTGTTCTCTATCACTCAACAAGGAAGTAGGAAAGCCAAACCTTAAATACCATTCCCAATAGTGTTTCCAATACTATGTGGGATTGAGCATTACCAACACTTGTTTCCAATACAATGTGATTATTCAGGAAACAATTAACAATCATGCACCTTAAAACAACTGAATCAGCAACCAATTGCATTCGTATTATACGATTAAATATGTCATAATTAAAAGTCAATCTACAATCAATCGCGATTATTGCAATTTTAAGCAAAACATTCAAAAATAATATCACTATTTAAGGCTCAATCCCACATAGTATTGGGAACAAGTGTTGGTAATGCTCAATCCCACATAGTATTGGAAACATTATTGGGAATGGTATTTAAGGCTTGGCTTTCCCACTTCCTTGTTGAGTGATAGAGAACAAGGGGGACTCTCGTGCGCCGCCGCCGTCCGTCTCGCCTCGTCTCGTCTCGGGTCGTGGTCGTGGTCGTCCGCGCGAATACTATCTTTTTAGAGAAAATTCTTAAGAAACAAATGCAATACCGTCGTTGCAATTTTGGACTATCGCAACAAATTTGGAATAAATCGCAATGCGAACTTGGACTATTTTTAGAGAAAATTCTTAAGAAACAAATGCAATACCGTCGTTGCAATTTTGGACTATCGCAACAAATTTGGAATAAATCGCAATGCGAACTTGGACTATCGCAATGCGAATATGTAAATCGCAATGCGATAGTCGAAGTTCGCATTGCGAATCTGGAAACTGATTTGCGATACCGGAGATCGCGTTGCGAATTATCGATTGCATTGTGATTTAGTTGGTCATTTTGGCAAATCCAAAAAAATTAGTTAAAATCATATATTATAAGGCATTTTTGGTCACTGAAGTTATTTTCTCTACTAAATAAACCCTTAAAAATGCATAAAAACAACAACCAAATAACCGGAAAATGTGCCAAAAAAGAAGAAGAAAACATGCCATAAAAACATATGAAAACATGTCATATAAGTAGATTTATTGAAGATAAAAAAATCAAAAGAAAATAAAGTTACGTATAAAAAAATAAAAGAAGAATAGAGAATACCAGTGGCTGAAAGTCAACATTAAAGTTAGTGTCGTCGTCGATCAATAAAAACATAAAGAAAAAAAAGATCGACGACACACTAATAAGAGAAAACTATGTTAAAATTTTATATTATTTCAGCTTACATTAAACGATATAATATGGTATATTTGAATATCTTTATCAAGTAAATCCATTTATCCAAAGTCTTTGAAATGAAAGTTAAACTCTTATTCACGGATCTGATAAAATTAATATAAAATATTTATCAGTATCAATGAATAAGTAGAATGATATATATTAATCTAAAAGAGTTTTCAGTACAGATAGGTCGATATATATATATATATATATTATTCAGACCTAGAAGTCCGACATTGGTGGCGACTTCTTTTTTCCAACAGAGAAACCAAGAAAGAAGCCTGAGATTTAGACCGATCTCTTTGCACTTTGCACCACATGTTTGTTCCTCATTCATTGATTAATATTACATCAAATTTCTAAGGATTTTATGGCGGACGAGGGCTCTCTTTTTGATTTATTATATTTATTTTCTAATTTTTTTGTTAGGGTTCGAGTAGGATCATTTATTAATTCAGAGTGTTAAAAGAGAGAGAAGGATATCCGGTGGCCGCGGTGAAAGTGGTGGCTCAGTCATGCCGGCTGCCGAGGGTAATCAGTTGATCTCTGTTCATCCTAATGATCTCAAATTCGTTAGTAAGTTCCACCTCTGTTGTAAGCTTATATATATACACACACACACACTTGCATGCATGTACAAACATGTGAGTTTGGATGTATGTATACATGCATGCATGAACATGCATAGATTTCCCTTTGGATGCACGTGATAAAAACAAATCATGCTTCAATTCTATGGCCATGTCATTAAGTTATTGTTATTGTGATTGGTGTTCTCAGTTGAGCTTGAAAAGCCAAGTTTTTGTGATCTTAAGGTGGTGAACAACACAGAGAACCATGTTGCATTTAAGGTATACATGTATATACAGGAACATCATGTTATGTGTGTTCTTCATCATATGTTGCCAAACTTGTTATCATGTTCATTAGGTTAAAACGACTTCACCAAAGAAGTACTTCGTCCGACCGAACACCGGCATCGTACAACCGATGGACTCGTGTCTTATCCAAGGTACTACTTCTAACCTGACCTTTTCCGGTAATGGTTGTCACGTATGATACTGATTTCATTGACTTGCTCAATTACCAGTCACTCTTCAAGCGCAACGGGAGTATCCGCCGGATATGCAATGCAAAGACAAATTCCTGCTTCAGAGTACTATCGTGCCCCCGAATACCAATGTCGATGACTTACCGACCGATACCGTAAGATTGCGAAACAAATAATAATCTTTTTGTATTTGATTTTTCGGAATGTGACATATTTGCCTCTGAATCCAGTTCAATAAGGATGGTACTAAGGATATAAGGGAGTGCCAGCTTAAAGTTCACTATATATCTCCTTCTGCTCAAGGGAATTCAGGGGTTGAAGTATACAAGAGCTTCCCGGATCAGAGCCCCAATTCGGACTATGTGAGTTTTGTCCGATACGATCCGATTACCACGAGCAAACAATTCCGATCTTCTTGTGTGACACGAACACATGTTTTCGGTTCCTTGTATGCTACGTCTTGTTTATGACTGGCATACTATGGGATCAATGATCTTCACTTAGCGATTGCAATTCATTATGTTTACTTTTATTGGCAGTAGTTTTACTTCATTTTCATACGTTTGCCGTTTAGCCTTCAATTATATTTTCCGGTGAAGCTAACTCGAAAAATGCAAGCCAGGAATCCGATTTCTTTCCTTAAATTTCCTTCCTGCTTCCCTGAATCAGACTTTGCAGCACCTGAAAGAAGAACGAGACGCCGCGGTCCGGCAAACACTGCATCTCCAACAAGAACTGGTATGTCAATATAAAGGCACCACAATTAGGTTATTCTGAACCAGATCAAACCTAATATCAACCGGTCACTTGTTAGAGAATGTACATACATATATATGTTCTATTCATACAGATTTATTACGGAACGAACGATATGTAAACCGATGGTTCTTTTTTTGCGGGAACAGGGTTTACTGAAGAGGAGAAGACAACGGAGGAACGATCCCGGATTCTCGATCGTGTTCGCAGGCGTCGTGGGAGTGGTAGGGATAATAGTTGGGTTCGTGTTGAAACTTTACTTGTCCAATGAATAGATGCCTTTCTTTTTAGGTATGGAAGACCAAGGGTAGCTAGTATGTTGTCAACTTTCTTTGTAAATGGAGAATGTGTGTTCATCAAACCTTATTTCTTTAAATTTATTAAAAATATTAATTATCTTAATTCCTGAATTTATCTCTCAAATTTTATCAGAAATAATAAAAATTGGTCTTACTTTTATTAGGGATAAAAAGTGACATTAAATCTTTAAATTTGATTCTTGATTTACTTATGTTAGTCTTTAGATATAGTTAAGTGAGATAATAGTATCAGGTGACTAATTTAGAATAATTTATGTTGCATGCCTAATTTTAGTGGGTAAATTTCTCGACAGAGATTTTTTTTTTATATATAATGACTCGAATTTGAAACTTACTTGAGCGATATCAAATTGTTTACTACTTGAACCAACGTGGTTGGCTAATAGTAAAGGACTTTGATAAATAGTATTTTAAAATGAACAGACCATGTCCATTGCTACAGCTAAAAATACTACTATTATTATGGTAGCCATTTTACGAGCTTCGCTTGTGTCTTGCAAAATAAGGAACAAGGACAGGTCATATAAAAAGTCACGCAAACCTCAAAAACAGCGACTACTTGATCAGTTCAGACACCAGAGGAGAGGGTTATTTATTCTATTACAAAAGCCTCTCCTTTTCGGACACAGCACAAGATAACTAATTAACTTTGTTCCCACTCAGAAGTTCCTTGGCAGACTTGAGCCTTCTCCTCCTCAACCTTTCCGATATGGCAAAGGCTAGCTCTAACGACTGCGATGCGTTTAACCTCGGGTCGCAATGAGTGTGATACCGAGAGTTCAAGTCGTCAAAAGTTACGGTATTTGACCCTCCGATGCACTCTGTCACGTTCTGCCCCGTCATCTCCAGATGAACTCCTCCCGGATAGCTTCCTTCTTGTTCATGAACATTGAAGAATGCCCTCAACTTGGACTGAGGGAAGTGAAAGCGACCAAAAGGATATCACATTTAGGCTTTCATTACAGTTTAACAAAAGACTAGTTTTGCTCGGAAACTTAAGTTCGAGAGATCTTACTCTGATTGCATCAAATGGACGTGTTTTTAGGCCACATGGAGCTTTGATTGTGTTTCCATGCATGGGATTGCTCACCCAAGTGACAATGAGCCCGGCCTGGCGTACGGCTCTAATAAGATGCAGCAGCTTTATTCGCATGTTATCGGCTCCCATTGTGATTATCGTCAGTCTCCCAGGCTTGTTCCGAGGGTTCAGAATTCCGCACAATTTTACAAGTTCCTTGGGGTCCATCTTATCACTGACCTAATATGATGTATGAAAATATTATCAATCAAAATGAACTATTCAAACGTAACAACTAAAACCACATCAAGACTCGTCTCCGATTGTTTCTAAAACATGAACCTACAACTTCATGAACAGTCCGGAGAAAATTTCGATACCACTATGAGTCCCAAACTTCAAAACAATCAAGAATCATCGATGGTCTAACTGTGTACAAGTACAACTATTTTAATGCAGGGATATGCATCCTTATTAATCAAGAATCATCGATAGTTAATCCAGCCGCAGCCATGAATCCGAGAGCTTCATCGACTCTCTGCGCAAGCTCCATGTACCTAATTATAAACCCAAACCCATGTTCTTAAATCCAACAACAACAAATCCAAGGCCTATGATCTCCATTGCAAATCTATGCAGTTCCAAAATCACAAAGCTAAACACAACTGTCTCCTTGTTCACTGTGTCTAACAAAATCGAGATTCCATTGGGAGACCCTTTGCATGGATGCATATCCACCTGTGGCGAATGCTCTAAGGAGATTCAAAGTTCCAACAGATTGAAGATAAGCTCTTATCAGTCTCTGAGGATCGGGGACTCGAGATTTCTCGTCAAAAGCATCGCCGTTTATGTTATCTCCTCGATAACTGGGTAATTTGACTCCATCTTTTATCTCAAATGAGTCTGACCTTGGCTTTTCAAATTGCCCTGCCATTCTCCCAACCTATCACAAGGTAAGAATTTGATAAAAAGGGGTCTAATTTAGGTTTAGAAAGTTTGGATTTTGAGGGATTAAATAGAACATACGGCGATGACGGGTATTTGGGCACCGAAAGTGAGGACAAAGCCCAAAAGTACTCTGAAAGTGTCTCCAGACAGATGCTTATTTATACACGTGGAGCAACCGTTTAGTCCCACGTGTGTCTCCCCAGATACCTGCATGTTGTTGTTTAAGGCATCCCTCCCAAGGAAACGAAGTTGATATTAAACCCTAAAGTTGAACATATTAGGCCCAAAAAATAGAATTGGACAAAAGATTAAACCTGTTTTAAAATATGAGTGGGGTGTGGATTGTAACATCCAAGGCCCGACCCTAATCCGATATTCTCTATAAGTTTATGTTATATTATATTATTTCGTATAGTGTATATTGTATGGTTTATATCATATAAAATTTGAATTGTAAATAATCTTATAATGTAAACAATTTAAAACATATTAGGTTGTTCGTGTATAAAACGGTAAGCAGAGCAAAACTCGACTCGAATTGATTTTCAGTTGTAATTTTATAAATTTAATTCGATTCGAAAAAAATTCAAGTTAAAATCGAATTGTAAAATACAATAAAAATAACTCAAATAGTAACTCGAATAACTCAATATTTTTAGTAATTAGTAGATTGATTTTCAAGTTTGAGTCGAGTCTCTCGACTTTGTATGATATACGTGTATCACATATGAAGAAATATATATGTATTGTATATGGTTATAAAAAAACTATTTACATTGGAATCAAATAATATCATAATATTATAAATATTTGTAATTAAATTTAAATAGAAACTCGAAAATTCGACATGACTCGACTCGAATTTTATAAATTCGACACAATTAGAAAAAAAAACTCAAGTCAATTTCGGGTTATAAGATAAGACTTGTCAACTCAAATAATTTAGAATTTTTTAATTCGAATCTACTTGATCGAATACTCACTCTTATAGAATAGTAAAAGATAAACTTAATAAAAAAATATAAAACCATTAAATATTAAAATTAACAGAACAATTTTTTTTATAAATTAAAAATTTATTTTTAATTAAAATTTTAGATGGGTCGAAATGAGCTTGTTATTCATTCGATGGGCATGTGGTAGGACTCTGTGGGACATAATACCAAATCCTGCTATTAGAATGTCTTTGGGGGTGGTGTCTGTATCCGAAAAATTAAGGGAGAGAATACTACGGTGGTTTGGGCATGTCCTTAGGCGACAATCGTTGGATGCGGTTAGGAGGGTAGAGTTAATTACAGTCGACAGTTCCAGAAGGAGAGGACGACCTAGGCGGAAGTGGGAATACTGCTTGAGATCTGATTTGAAGGATTTAGCCCTTATTGAGGACATGACCTCTGATAGGAAAGTATAGAGACTTAAGACCAGGGTAGCCAATTAGTGCAGGTCACAGCCATAGGGTGTAACATTTCTGCCTTCTTTTTATGCATTTGTCGTAATTTCCATGACTTATACTTTTTATATGTTTCTGTCATTGGAATTAATGAAGGCTTAGAACTAGGGTAGCGGATTATTATTGCCTTAGTTTAGGTTTTAAACCATTTGACTTTATCCCTTCTCGTAGCTTGCTATCGTTGACTTCTGTGTATCATTCTCTTCATGTTTATTCTTTTTAATTTTATTCGGGTCTTACGTTTTCTGTCTATATGTAGAGATTATTATGCAGAGATTTATTAGTAGGGATTACTTCCCATTACAGACGCGCATATGAAGACTGTATATGAAGACTGTTTAAATATGTATTTATTTATTTATTTATACATGCTTTGTATTTTATCTTTATTTTTAATTTTCTGACTGCCGGAGGTCTTCCACGGAAGCTGCTCTCAAACATACGTTGGGGGCAGCCTACTACCCTACCTCCCCTTACCCCATTGCATATGAGAATAATGTTTTGTGGTTGTTGTTGTTGTCATCATCACTATCTTATTTAATATTTAATAATAGAACGATTGACTGTGTTTAGTGGTATCAGTTGTTAAAGGGTGTGTTGTTCTCATTTGAAGATTTAGGTTCGAGTAACTACATCTTTAAGGTATGTACACCGTAAATAATTAAAACTTAAGAATATTTATTATTTTATAATCATTTCATATTATTAAAAAAATAAAATGACTTATATTACAAAAATATTTTAATTAAATAATTTATTTATAATATTTTAAAAGAATATGTATTTATTATCAGACTCATAATTAAATGATTTGAAGTAATTTTCCTTTTTTTTTAATAAGCAACAAGTTTAACCGAAAGGGTAATATTAAAAGAATATGTATTTATTATCAGACTCATAATTAAATGATTTGAAGTAATTTTCCTTTTTTTTTAATAAGCAACAAGTTTAACCGAAAGGGTAATATTGGCAAAAATTAATATTGCCATTCTGTCATGAGAATGATGGAAAAACTTGGATAAAAGGCGTCCTGTATTTTTCCCCTATTATGATTTCACAATAAATCATCCCAGAAATAAATTTATATAATTTATATTTAATTATTATTGCGTAAAAATCAAGCTTCCAATCCAAATCCTCTTCCCACAACAGTAAGTGAATTGATTCAATTTGTTTTTTTGTTTTGGGGTGCGATCTTAGCTAGAAATTATATATATTTTAAGCATTGGATTGGTTTTTTTTTTAGTTGTAAAGAGTGTTGCATAGTTGAGATGATCTCCTGAAGCAATTACTTGGGGATTTGACGATTTCAAGAATTCAGGAACCCAATTTTTTGTTTCCTTACAATACCCTGAAAAATTGAGAATTTTATACATATAAAAAGTTTATGCTTTCTTCTTTTTGTATATTAAAGAAGCTTCCTTTTCCTGCTTTTTCTATTATAAGCAAAAATTTCTAAAACATTTTTATTGTTATATTTTCCAGATAAACATTTGTCGGTTTATTTATTGATGCAAGTTTGAATGTTTTTTTTTTTGAATAAGTTGATGCAACAGGGAACTTATTAGAACTGTAATAGAGAGGATCAACAAAGATAATTATTGAGAATGGCCTGTAGAGGATGCTTAGAATGCTTGTTGAAGCTCTTGAACTTTTTGATGAATGTTGCTGGTTTGGCAATGGTTGGATATGGGATTTACTTGTTTGTTGAGTACAAAAGAGCTGCTGATGTTGCCTCGCTTTTGTCGCCTGTGGGCAGTGATCAGAATTTGATAGAGCTTGGTCGCCCCATGCTCATGGCCGTGTCGGTTTCATCTGATATTTTTCATCATCTTCCAAAAGAATGGTAGTATTAGCTTTTTTCAGTTACTTGTGGTTTGAATGTTTGGTATTGTTACTTATTTCTTTATTAGTTTAGTAATTCTTGCATTAGTTGAATTAAAAACGTTTTCATGTAGCACTTGTGATATTCCTCATTTCTTTAGCGAAATATCTATATGTACTACATAACTTTCCTTGGTGTGCTTGAATTTGAGTCATACTAGCTTGAATGGAATCTGCTTCCAAGATCCCCCCGATACTCTCTGGTAGGATCATGCTTGTTATATACCGTCTTCAATCACATGTTATATTTTCTAGTTCATAACACGTCAACCATTTGTTTTTCTCATGGTCATGCGTATTGCCGAAGAATCTTATGCTGATTTTTCGATGCATTTTACTTGTTAGTGAACATATGAATTTCAGTAGAAATTAAATTGCTTATTTGATTTGAATTGTCCAATTTCCATTCCACTTACAAGTCTATATGAAGTTTTTGTATGTTCTTGCGTGTTTTAACTTTTCAATTTCTATTTTGTAGGTTTATATATTTATTTATTGGAGTAGGTGTGATTCTCTTTGTTATATCTTGCTGTGGTTGTATTGGAGCTGCAACGCGGAATTTATGCTGTTTGTCCTGTGTATCCTAATTATCTGCTTGATGTTTTCGACAGTCGTAATTAGGACATAGATATAATCTTGTAGTTCATAAATTTTCTTTTATCCAAATCATTTTTCTTCTCTTTCACGATGATTGCTTTACTTAAGGCAACCTAGTATTCAGTGTTGGTGTTTCTGTTGATCTTGGTGGAGCTGGGATGTGCAGCTTTCATAGTCTTCAACAAAAGCTGGAAACATGTAACTTTTGCTTACTTTTTGGTCATTTCTCCTTCTATTTAATTGAAGTTGGCGTGCTTGGTTTTCTAATTAGCGCTAATTTCTTTAGGAACTTCCCGCGGATAAAACAGGCTACTTTGATATGATATATCATTTTCTGAAAGAAAACTGGAGTATCGCCAGATGGATAGCTCTTGGAATTATTATCTTAGAGGTAAGCTTAACGTGATTGTGATCCTAATCCTGAGGACTTAAATATTACTTCACATTCATGAACTATTTTGTGGTCCATATGCAAAAACCGAGAAACTGTCTGATAGACTGATAGGGTTTAAATAAATGAAGTTGCTTTTGAATACAAGGATTTCCCCTTTTGATTCCTAATCATTTAGTATTGTATTCTGTGTTCTCAGCCCTTGTAATTTTTTTAGCATCATTTAGCTTTTGGACATATTGTTCTCTGCGATAACAATGCACAGAATAGTCCTGGACTTTCTTATCCTTAGTCCTTACCGAGTAGATAAGATTTAGCCTTGGATGTCTATCTGTTGCAAAGAAACCCAATATTTGAAAAGAGAGAGATTTATTTAAATTCCAAAATCAAGGCTTAGAGTTGAAAATCATTCAATTAATAGTACTAAAGGGAAGTGAATCTTCTTCAACTATCATTATTTGGGAATGTAGCATGTTCGTTTCTTTTCAGTATGGATTATGGTTAAGATGATTGCATATGACATCGTTTTTAGTTCTAGGTAACTTTTAGGAGGCTTCCATATGGAGACAACTGTTGGGTTATGATTTACCGAGGTAAAAGTTAGTCGACAATTTGCATCACATAGTAGTTTAGATGATGATGTGTTTCGTGACTTTGTTTTTCTGTTGGATGATAATGGCACAGACATCAATGGATGGATTCTGATATTTATTGCATTAAAATAAGGCCTTGAATCAAATTTCTCTGTTAGAATAACATCTGGACTGGTATTGTTTCTCTGGGCTTTATCTGACCTGTGGTCAAAATCAACTTCAACTTGCAGGTTCTTATTTTCTTGTTAGCCCTCATGGTCAGGGCCGCCAATGTACCTGCTGATTATGACAGTGATGATGAGTTCATTGCACCAAGGCAACAAATCAGGCAGCCTTTAATGAACAGGCAACATGTTCCGGTTACAGGTGTACCTGTTGCTGGTGGCCTTGATCAACGGCCTGGCAGAACAGATGCTTGGAGTGCACGTATGAGGGAAAAGGTGATTTCTTTCCCATAAAGTCGTCCTCTTTGATATAAACATATAGCTCTCCTGTGTGGTAAATCTTTTCTTAGACCAATTCGTACGTCTTACCTTGATTTTCTAGAGGCTTCAAATCTCAATATTGAATCATTTTTACGAAGTAAATGTGCTGCTATATCTGATGTTTCTTTCCTTAAATGCACAAGTGCATAGATTTTACTGTAATTCGTATTGTCTGTAGTAATGCACTCTGATGTGATAGATACCGGAATACCACCTTCCGTTCTCTTCGATTCCTGCATTTCGTTCCCCTTATTATATCCCTTATCCATTTGTCTCATCATTTTTCTCTTAACCTTTTCCCAAATTTGTTTCTCTAACATTGTTTTTCACTGGATGTATATCAGTATGGGCTGGATACGTCCGAGTTCACATACAACCCTATGGACTCAAACAGGTACCAGCAGGCAGCCCCTCAACCAGCAGAAGAAAGCAGCCGGTGCACCATTCTGTGATAATCATCCGGTTTTGTCTTCCAAATGCTATTGCGTTGACGATCAAGCGAAAGCTTCAGATTTTTCAGATGACAATCTTAATTTATGTGTTCCCTACTCATTGATTTCTTCATAGAACATATGTGTTTAGAAAATGCATAACTATTTTCTGTGTAAAACTAAACTGCTACATTCAAGGTTTGGCAATGAGTTGAATCCCGAGCCATTACAGCTATGCCTTTTACTTATCTGTTCCTTCTCATGTTATATATATATATATATATATATATATATAATATTGCAAAGTATCAATACGAGACATCGATATGCTTTGCAAGTGATTGGATGCTTAGGAATGGTAGATTTTAATGAGGTATATATATATATATATATATATGTTCCATCTGCTTTATGATCTTGTGATTGTGATGTCCATGAAAAGGAAAGCAATGGAGGAGAAAGAAAGCTTTGATATACTTTGAAGTTGGCAGTGGCATCTTTGTACAACAATAATATTCTTATTTACTTGGACTCGAGTTTAGTTTGTTCGTGATTTGAATTTTGACATTTATAACTCGAGGCTTCAAAGATACTATAGTTTATATTATTAGAAAAATAGAAGAATAGATACTTTTACAGAAAGATCTGAGAAAAGAAATAATAAATTAACAAATAAAAAGTTCGAATTTATCATTTGATTAGAAGTTGAGCTGGCTTAACACTTAACACTGAGGCCTTTAAGCATAATTCCTCATACATTTATTTATGTAATTAACATATTAATGTATCATATCATGTATCTTCTCATCAAAACGTGAAATAAATTAAGAATAAAATAAAATGAAGAAATTACAAGATTATTCTATCTGCCCTTTCTTTCCTGTTTAATTATTTTTGGCATGGCTATTATCGAAAAGTTTCCTTCACACATAGTGCGTAGTGGTCCCATTAGATCTACAGTTAAATATCGAAATATATAATATTATATATTTTCATGCATAATCAAATGCTTTCCTTTATATGGTTACACACTAGAATGTTATACCACAGCTATATATATATATATATATATATATTTCATAAACCATTTTTCTTTGTGGTTTGTCGTTTTTCTTTTGTGACACTTAGAGTTTCTTGTCTACATCAGTGTTTGTGACCGTCTTAGAACAGAACTTTCCAGTTTGTTAAAGCCTTATTTTCCCAGATTTTGATACCAGAGACTATGAAGACTAGGAGGGGAAAGCGTTCTGAGGCAAGCTTTGCTCTTTTGCTTTTATTTAAACTGCAATGCTTTAACGATACACTTGTTCAACTTGTTTTCAAATTTCAGGCCTTTTGGCCATCCATCGTGATGAAGAAATGGTTGAACATAAAGCCTAAGGTGTACGATTTTAGCGAAGACGAGGTCGAAACTGAAACCGAAACCGAAAGTGAAGATGATGGTATTTGTAGAACACATTATCATATCATATTCAACAACACATGTTTCCTTACACTCTTTGCCTTTTCCTGCAATTTCCACTAGCTTTCTCCGTTAAAGAATCAAGATTGAATGGAGACGAGGAACAGAACCATAGCCCGTTGCAAAACCAAGATTGCAGCAGCCAAATTTCAGGTATTATTTGCTTTCTTCATCTGTGGTTTAGTTGGTGTTTCCCCCCCTCTGGTTTCGATGTTTCATCTTTCAGATTCGCCGTTTATGGGTAACCGGTTAAGACACCGGAGGGGAAAATCGGAAACTCTGCACATACAGTACACGAACACAAAGGATGTGAGGTTTGCCCGCAATATGCTTGTGCTTAAAAATTGTAAGCCTTCTGAGGTGCAGCAGTTTCTAAATTTCTTATTTGAAACATATTATGGTTGCCTATAGGGTGACAATAGGCACTTGGAACGTTGCTGGAAGACTTCCTTGTGATGATCTTCAGATCGATGACTGGCTTTGCATGGAAGAGCCGGCAGATATTTACGTTATCGGGTCGGTATTTCCTTTCCCTGCCTGATCTTATACCCGTGTATAAAACATACCTATATCTGACACTAATATTATACCCGCAGCTTCCAGGAGGTAGTCCCTTTGAATGCTGGAAATGTTCTGGGAGCCGAGGATAACAGGCCGATTCCTAAATGGGAGGCAATCATTCGAAGAACTCTGAACCGAGATTTGGAGCCTGAAAGCAAGCATAGATGCTATAGTGCCCCACCTTCTCCTAGTTCGGTTGCAGATGTATCCACCGATGAGATACCTGGTCTGCCATTGGAGTATTTGGAGACTGCAAATGAAGTTGGCCAAAATTTACAGCAGAAGAGAATATATGGCTTTGATAGTGAAACCGGGATAGTTTGGCCTGAAGATCAAAACCAACAAGTTCGTTTTTTCTCTGCAATATCTGATGATATTTTCACGGAAGCGACAATAGAGGAAGACGGCAATGATAGGGCGATGTCGAGGCCGAAGTACGTGCGGATAGTGAGCAAACAGATGGTTGGAATCTACATTTCTGTGTGGGTGAGAAAGAGGCTGAGGAAACATGTTGGTAATTTGAAAGTCTCTCCAGTTGGTATTGGTCTTATGGGTTACTTGGGAAACAAGGTAATCACTTTCCCCCTGTTCTAGCAAAGGATTATGCTTTTCGGATGTCTTCAGTACCCATGGTAGACAAAACTGAACCGAAAGTGGAATCGGTTAAACAGCCGCTCGGTTCCACCATCTTGAAATATGCCTCTGTACTATGATCTCTTGCAATCTGAAGTTGGCTTCATTATCAGTGAATGTCTTATGAACTTGCTTTTGCAGGGATCTGTTTCTGTTAGCATGAATATTTTCCAATCCAGGCTGTGCTTTGTGTGTTCGCATTTGACATCTGGTCATAAAGATGGAGATGAACAAAGACGCAACTCTGATGTGTACGAAATTATACGACGAACACGTTTCTCAACTGTTGTCGATACAAATCAATCACAAACAATCCCATCTCACGAGTAAGTAAAATGTCAGCCAATTTTCTTATCATTATATAATCAATATATTCAACCTGAACCATGAATGTATGTCGATGGTGGCCTCTGTAAACAGTCAGGTATTTTGGTTTGGGGATCTGAACTATCGTCTCAACATGTCGGATGCTAAGGTGAGAAAGCTTGTCGCTCAAAAGCGATGGGAAGAATTACTCAACAGTGATCAGGTCAGTATCACACAATGACCTAGTTACTGGATTCGATTTGTAATGACAAATGAAGTTAAAAGCTCCGGTTCTGTGCCACAGCTTCATAAAGAACTGTGTAGTGGGCGCATTTTCGATGGATGGAAAGAAGGGGTCATCGATTTTCCTCCTACCTACAAGTATGAAATACATTCCGATAGATATGTCGGCGTGATCCCTAAGGAAGGGGAGAAGAAGCGATCTCCGGCATGGTAAGCACAAGTTTCTTAAGGTATCCCTGCCAACTGACATGAAAAAGCTTAGAAAAAGTGAACACAAAACATCCTCGCGTCGGATACATACCGGTGTCCAACATTCGCAGGCCAGTACGGCAACTTAGCACGAAAACCTAATATTCAAGTTTCAGAAAAATGTTTCACAAAACCCATATACTTCGCAATGTGTTAACTGATAACTCATATAGTTCTGTGTACTCTTACCTTGGTAGGTGTGATCGTATACTCTGGTCAGGGATAGGCATCAAACAACTTTGCTACCAACGGGCAGAAATAAGACTCTCGGATCATCGACCCGTCAGTTCAATGTTTTTAGTCGAAGTTGAAGTCTTGGACCATCGGAAGTTCCAAAGGGCTCTCAATGCTAGCACAGCTGCTGTCCATCCTGAGCGTTTCTTTGATGAAAATGTGTAGAACATGTAGAAGAAATGTGTTTGCCATCTTTAGAACAAAAATTCTATAATATTCAATGTATACAGACAACAAAATGAGAAATATTACTATATTTGATGTACAAAGAACACGTTCTCCGGAATAATTGTATACTGTTCATGTTGCGGAAGACGACTATAGAGCAAAATCGCAACTGATAATTTGAGAAAATAAAAATGAAGATAAAAGAGACAAAATTCACAAAATTTACGTGGAAAATCCCTAAATAATATAGGGTAAAAATCACGGGCAACGATAGAAGAATTTCACTATGAGAAAATAGGAATTACAACTTCTCTCGATCTACCAAGGAGAAAACAATGATAATTCTCTCTTGATAAAAAGGAGAAAACAACTCTCAAGAAACTCTCTAAATTCTCTAGTATTGGGAGAAAGCTAGAATGATTTGGGATGGTTTTGAAGCTAAATGAGTTAGGGCATTTATAGTTGAAGCTTAAGGACTAATTTGTAAATACCCTAAATTTTAGTGATTAGAGTTCGTAATTTACCCATATAAAAAATCAACAAATTCTACACCTAATTTTCGGTGCCTACATTTGTTGACAAATTTTTTTTTCTTCTAAATTATGCACTTTCGGTGCATTGATTTTCAACAATCTCCCACTTGAAGATTTGATTGGAATAATCATATCTTCACACCATTCTTTCTACCATGTACCATCATGTTGCTTACATTTCTGAAATGCCACAAGAGGATCGACACCAAGTAAATTTATCAGTATTGATCGTTTTCGTCATGAAATCTGCTATGTTGTCTTTGGTATGTATCTTCTGCATATCTACCGTCCCTTCTTCCACCTTTTCACGAATGAAATAGTACTGAACTCGTATGTGCTTTGTCCTTGAATGAAATGATGGATTCCTTGTTAGATGCAAGACGCTTTGACTGTCACAAAACAGAGAGACATACTCTTGATTGTGCCCAAGCTCCTCCAATAACATCTTCAACCAAATTGCTTCTTTACTGGCTTGTGTAGCTGCTACATATTATGCCTCTGTTGTGGATGTAGCCACAACTGACTGCAATTTTGAAACACAGCTTACTGCTGCACCAGCAACTTTGAACACATATACTATAGTAGATTTGCTTTTATTCAAATCTCCTGCATAGTCAGAATCTACATAACCATTGATTAGTAAATTTGATCATCCGTAACATAATGCAACATTTGAGGTCCCTTTGATGTATCTCAGGATCCTCTTTACTGTATTTCATTGCTCTTTGTCTGGATTCACCATGTACCGACTAATCACTCCCACTGCTTGTGCAATGTCTGGTCTTGTGCATATCATAACG